AGATTAGAAAGAAGAGAACACGAAGTTCAGCAAAGATGTTGATCGTTTCGACTATTTCATGCTCAAAAGTAGCTGTGCAACCGCATTCAAATACATAATTTTACATGGATATAATTATTTTTTACTTCACTCCACACAATTACCAAAGCGAATGAAAGCTGACAATTATTTTCAACTAGATATGAATTAAAAGAGACTTAGAAACAAAATTTATGCAGGGATAGAACGAATTACACGTGGGAACAAAATTGAAATAATAATTTTCAATTTGAGATGGGAGTTAGGAGGTGCGAATATAGATTGCAAGAGCCCTAGAAACAAAAATTACACAGGATTAGGATATATAATTGTAAAATAGTTAATTTTTAAATGAATTATAAGTGTGAGCAGGAAAAGCATGGAGACAAACTTAAAATAACTGTTCTTGTAACTGAAAAAAATGGGGTGAATTGGATGAAGTTAGAGGGAGTAAAAATCACATGCACAGCGAACGAAAAACAGATCCAAAAAAAGATCAAAAGGACGAAAAAAGGAAAACGGTGGCTAAGGAAACATACTGAACTAGGTCCATGGTAGTGTGACGTTCTCTAGCCGCCCAATACTTCGAAACAATCCCAAGGACAAACTTTTGGATATGACCAATTCAATGTGCATATACCAGTTCATCTGCTCGTTCGGAGCTAGCTACATAGGTCGTTGTATGCGCGTCCTTTCAAAACGTGTTAGAGAACATTACCCAGTGTGGCTGCAAAGAGGAGGCACTGGTTCAATCAGAAGTGCCATTATTGAACATCTGATCAACACCTCCCACAACATCTCAACTGATTCATTCAAAGTAATTTACAAAGTCAACAGAAACCTACCGAAAGCAGTATGTTTTTGATTTCTCTGTACTGCAGAAGCCCTCGCAATATGCATCGAAAAGCCGGAGCTGTGTGTTCAAAAGAAATTAGTCCAACCTCTACAACTAGCATGGACCTAGTTCGGTATGTTCCCTTAGCTTCCATCTGTTTTTCTTTTCTTTCGTTCTATTTTCTGATCTTGTTTTGTTCGCTGTGTGTGTGATTCTTACTCCCTCTGTCTTCATTCAATTCATCCCACTTTTTTCAGTTATAAAAACAGTTATTTCCATGCTTTTCCTGCTCACATTTATAATTCGTTTAAAATAACTATTTTACAATTATATTCTAATCCTGTGTAATTTTTGTTTCTAGGGCTCTTGTAATCTACATATTCACACCTCCTAACTCCCATCTCAAGTTGAAAATTATTATTTCAATTTTGTTTCCATGCTCATTTTTTACACACCTGTAATTCGTTCTATCCCTGTGTAAATTTTGTTTCTAAGTCTCTTTTAATTCATATCTAGTTGAAAATAATTGTCACCTTTTATTCGCCTTCGTAATTATGTGGAGTCAAGTAAAAAATAATTGTATCTATGTAAAATTATGTATTTAAATGCGATTGTACAGCTTTTTTTTGAGAATGAAATCGTCGAAAAGATCAACATCTTTGCTGAACTCCGTGTTCTCTTCTTTCCAAGCTTCTGATTCGCAAGTTCCTACTAAACTTGAGAAAAAGCCCGATTGTGTCCCAATACACGAGATAACTGTTCTTCAGTTATGTCCTTGGGTCTCAAAATGTACATCTGGACATCTTACAATTGGCTTTCACAGCTAGATATCGTGGATTTCTTGAGAGGAGACAAAGCAAATATATCACATAATGGAATGGTTTGTGCTTCAGCGCTCAGAGACCATTGTGTCACAGGAAGGATACACTGTCAGTTAATATTTTACTTGAAGATATCGTACGAAGGGAAAATAGCATTCAATAAACTCCTCTGAAGATTCTGTACATTTTATAACTACTGTCCAGAATGAGGATATTATTATTATTATTAATATTATTACCATTATTATTATTATTAAACATTGCTACCACTGACTATCAAAACTATTATTATTATTATTTGATCCACAAACTCACCATCATTGCTTAAATTCTTTTTATATATAAATCTATGTAAATTAGAGTAAAGCCTGAAGGAAATCTTATTGAAAACAACAATTTGCAATTAATAGTGTTCTCTGAGCTGGTTGGTTTAGTTGCAGAGCTTTCGTCGTCCTTCTGGACAACATCCCCCTTCAGCGCAATATTTAGCATAAAGTGAAATGATTTAAATTTCTTCATGAGTGATATAATTGCGTCTCCCGGTAACCATCTTTACATGTGTATTGATCACTTTTTATTGACTTGGATTTTAAACTTTCTGGTCACTTGATTTACTTTTTATTAGTTGATATATTTCGTCTATATTAACGTGTTTGTTAATTGCATTTTCGTTTGAGTACCAGGCTTCTAGGAATTCCCTGACTGCAGTTTTCGTGTTTCCTCTGTCTAAGATTTTGACATTATCCCAATCAAATTGATGACCATAATTGTCTATACGCATTGATACTAAAGAATACATATTGTGTCTTTTCACGACTGATTTGTGTTCTTGGATTCTAATTTGAAGGGGACGCCCACTTTGGCCGATATAATGCTTGTTACAGTTCATACAACCTATTTTGTAAATGGTATTAATTTGATCTTCTTTTTCTGTTGGATCTTTCGGTTTGCATAATATCGAATTAAGCGATTTGACTGGCTTGTGTGCTATATCTATATCAAACGGTCAATACAAATGTAAAGAAGGTTACCGGGAGACGCAATTCTATCACTCATGAAGAAATTTAAATCATTTCACTTTATGCTAAATATTACGCTGAAGGGAGATGTTGTCCAGAAGGACGACGAAAGCTCCGCAACTAAACCAATCAGTTCAGAGAACACTATTAATTGCAAATCATCCGCCTGAGCTACAAATCTCCTCTATTATTTGAAAACAGCAATATTGTTCGCTTGTATTGTCTTGTCTTAACATTAAGAGTGAGAATATTTAAATACAATCATTTACTTTGAGAAATAAACAAGGCGCATCTGTAGTGCAATGGTAGAATGCTTGCCAGTCATATAGACGCTTCAGATACGATTCCCAGCCGACTGATGCCTTAACCTCTCCTAGTGCACTAACCTTTAGGAAGCTCTGAAAAGAGGGACAGTTGGGAGGGAGGTTAGCAAAACAACAACTATTTTTGATTGAACACTAGTCTGCAAGGCGTATCTGCAACCTTGAAGGAACTCATTTGCCTTCTGAGATTCGAACCTGTGCTAGCCATTGCCACCTGCAGTCAGAGACGTTACAACTGAGCTATTTGGACTCACTGGCGACTGACATCCTGTAGGACTGTATTGGATATTTTTGATCGAACACTAATCAGTTACTAGTGTAATGTGTCTAGTCCAAGTCTAAGGCTCCCTACCGATTGTCTCCAGCCATCTAGTACCAACAATTCACAGTACACCGTTATGGCGAGCCACCTAACATGGTGGCCACATTACAAACATGACTGAAAGAATTCACTCTGCACCGAAGATAGGACTAGACACATTACACTAGTTACTGACTAGTGTCCAATCAAGGTACCCAAACAGTCCTACAGGTCAATCGTGAGGCTGAATAGCCCAGTGGTAACGTCTCTGACTGCAGGCGGCACTGGGTGACGCAGGTTCGAATCTCAGAAGGGACATGAGTTCCTTCGAGGTTGCAGATACGCCTTGCTGATGAGTGCCAACTAGCACAAAACGTTGGTTGAGCAAGGCTTTCCGTGGCCGATTGCCTCCAACCATCTAAAACGGCAACTACTTACACTCCAAATCGCTTGAATCCCTCCCTATGTTCCACTTAAAATGTATAGAATGAAGAAAATTAAGGAATGGATCCCCACTGTAGTGACCATCAAGTTTATTGATTCTTCTCGGTGAACGTTGTAACTCTTATTGACTTTTAGTCTCCCGATTGATTAATAGTTTAGTTAGGACTGTGTGAACACCACCGTTTAATGAGTGTCTCAAATTCTGCATGACAGTCACCTCGTGTATTGAGTGGACCGTAGGGCTTCAAAGACACATCTCCATTGTAATCAGTTCTCTGACGTTAGTGCCAGCTGACCCCGACACTCTCCGTAAGCTTCTATTTTCTATTCATTACACGATCTTCTCTATGTCACCGTTGGACTCCAAAACAATACTCTAGAAGTTAAGATTATGATCTCGATTTTCGCAGTGCAGTGAAAGTACTAAGTGAATCCTGTTAATCTCACCGGTGACATAGAAGTGCCTTTGGAAGCTGGAAGAAATGGGTAGATATTCTCTCTGTGTGTGAAAATAGTGCTTAGAAATCCAAAAGGTTTTATGTCATGACATCTCAGCCTTCTGTATTATTGTGAATCAACTAACTTTTTTTCTATTCCTTTGCCTTCTCAGTGGAAAATACGGCTTCTGAGTTCAGCTGTGAAGTTCCAGTAGTAGTGGTGTTTAATTTTTGCGAGGTTGCGAGGGTTGCTTGCTAGCCTCACATCCAAGCTCCCCTGTTCACCGGATCAACTCCTAGCTAAGTGAGGTTTGGAAGTGTGTCAGCCGGGGATAAAAACCCCGGACTACTTGCATCGTTGGCGAACATTCTACCACTGGGCTACCAACTCACGAATCATTAAATCACCTCCAGACTATTCAAAAATGCTGAATAAGGTTACTGTTCGATCTCTGCTTTCAACTCTATCTGTTTCACTTTGGCTGATTAGTAGCCGTAGACACCTTTGAGTAAATCAACCATAGAAGAATGCTTTGAGTGCTTTAAAACTAATCAATTATTGGATGGAGGATTTCATCATGAGCTGACATCAGTTAGAGAACCACTGGAAAACCAGCTGGGAGTACTGAACAGCTCCCAGGTGTTTTTCCAGTGGTTCTCTAACTGATGTCAGCTCATGATGAATTCCTCCATCCAATCAAACAAAATCCCTACAAAACCAATACTTGAAAACTAATCAATTATTATATTATTATTAAAAGTTGTCTTATTATTGTTGTTTTTATCTAACTTTCAATTTTAGTATGTTCAAAATGCAGAGCATTTTATGGATCCTTTCTACGCTACTTTTTGGATTATGATCAACTTTTTAAAGTGCAGTCTGCTTTAGTAGCTTTCTGTGAAACTCTTGGACCAATTCGTGATCATGTGAGTCATTTCACAGTAAAAAAAGTGTCACATCATTACTAGTTAGCGCAGTTCTTTTCATTATAAACATCTGAAGTTTGACCATAGATTGAATTCAGTTAGAAAACCATTGGAAGCTAAGGATTACTGACAGGCCATTTCGTCCAAGCCTGGTACTCTTCAGTGGTAGATATCTATAATCTCACCGTCAAGGATTAAACCTACAGTCTTCAGGTTAGGAGGCCAGCTTTTCGACCATTTGAGCCATTAAGATGGACCTACGAGTTCTAACTCTATCACCAGTTTGTGAAACTAGTTGAGACCCAGTGAAAATCAGATGGTATATATTGTATGGCTGTTTCACCATTGATATGAAGCCCTTCAGAAATCAGCATACATCACCTGGGTAAAGGCTGAAGTACAAAACCTTCAGCTTATATCAGATAGTTGGAGGCAATCGGCCACAGGAAGCCTTCGACCTAGGTTTCGTGCTAGTTGGCAATCACCGGTCAGCAAGGCGTATCTGCAGCCTCGAAGGAACTCATGTCCCTTCTGAGATTCGAACCCGCGTCACCCAGTGCCGTCTGCAGTCAGAGACGTTACCACTGAGCTATTTAGCCTCACGATTGACCTCCTGTAGGACTGTTTGAGTACCTTGATTGGACACTAGTCAGTAACTAGTGTGACGTGTCTAGTCCTTTCTTTGGTCAGACTGATGAAGAGTCCCAAACTAGGACGAAACAGCTGTCCAGTACTCTAGGTTTTCCAATGGCTCTCTAACTAAGGTCAGCTCATGATGAAATCCTGTAACCGATCAAATCCTACAAACCAACACTTGAATATCAATGAGGTGCTCACTAGCGACTTTCCCTATTCAGGTAGGAAGTTACCTGGGGTTCTAGTGAGAAGTCGTGACCAGTAGGGTGCAGCAGGTCGGGGGTTAGGATAAATACTCGCCAGACGACAGATCGTATATTGAGAAAATCAAGAGATATTTATAGATATTTTTTATGTACATTATTATTCGCTATTGTTAGCAAAGAAGCATCGTCTTCTGATTGGTTATTTTCCTGCTGGCCATTTCTTAGACATTCCGCTGATTTATACATATATATCTGCTAGTCGTATCCGCCCACGCAAAGTCTGCTGTGATTGGTTGTTGAGTTCCTCAAGGTTAGGCTTTGTTATTGTTTTTTCTCATGACGCTGATTTGGGACGTAAATTGCTGTCTACCCCAATTTTGGCTAGCAGACAGCTCTCACCACAGTATAAACTAAAAAACAGGGTATTCACTGACTGCATCAATTCTACTGAGAATAGAACCGAAACATGAATCTGCAAAAAGAGCTATACCAAACAGCTATCAGTTTAAAAAGCCCTGATTTTAATAGTTCTCTAACTGATGTTAGTTCATCATGTCACTCCTGATATCGATCAAAGTGCTCAAAACCAACCCCTGAAAATTTATCTAATACTGACGCTAGTAGCTCAACACAAGATGGAGTTCCTGAAGTTTTAGTGGTAAGTCGTGGCCAGTGTAGGGTCCAGCAAGTCTGCTGTGAGAACCAATACTCTCCAGTGGATGTTTAACGGGTTGGCCTCGTTATCTGAAGGTTCTAGATTCAATATCTGGTGGAGTGACAGGTGCATACTGCGGAATAGTTCTACACTAGGCGCAAAACAACGCCCCAGTACTGCCTATTTTTCAGGGTGAATCTTTAACTAGTGTCAGTTTGTGACCAAGTGCCCGCCGCTAAACTAACACTCGAAAATAAATTTACTCTAATTGGAATCCCCTACATACGATTGTACGAATTAAAAATCAATAAAATTATGATTGAATCTATTTCTCATATGCTACCGGCAAGATATTCTACGACTATGTACCACTATTAAGACTGACAAACCTTCGAACTATGGGATAATATTCAATTTCACACTTCCATCTTGGCGTTTTCTCTGTCTATTAATATATATGTGTAAATACACATATATTAATATGACTTATGGTCTTCCTGTACGAAGACTTATCAATAAACTCACTTGACTTTCACAAACTGAAGCAAGATATGAAAATCATCGTATTTTCAACATTCGATGCCTAGAAAATGAAATCATTCCTAAATATCCTACGTCTACGAGCTCCAGTTCCAACGGACAGAGTTAGAAGCAGAATAGAAGGCCTACAAAAATTATGCCTGAAAGAAGGGATCCACAGAATCGTTAAAAAGTTGCAACATATCAGATCTGAAATTGAGCAATTAAAACAAAAGCTAAAAGGAATAGTTACCGATGTAGATTATGATCTTATAACACAATCCTCCAGCAATGCAAAATCAGCAGCTTTCAAAAAGTCAAAGAATACTCAAATCAAAAAGTTCAATAAATTATTAGAAGAGAAATCTTCATCTCAGAACGATGAAGTCAACAATCCAAAGTCAACGGCGATCGATAAATCAAAGTGGGTTATCAATCTCTCAACACATATATTAAGTCCTACGGAAATAAGTGTATTAGAAAAGGGACTAAATTTCAATGTAGCAGTGGACAAGCTGAAACCTGAGGATGTCATCCCTAAAATAGAAATAGCACTAAGTGTGGGATAGACAAAACTACGGCTGATGAAGTACGGGCACAATGTGCACTGACATTAAAACGACAAAAATGTGGAAAGCCTAACCTGACAAAACAAGAGATAGAAGCCCTGAAACACCTTAAGAATAACAAGGATATAGTTATCACAAAGTCAGACAAAGGAAATGCAACAGTAGTATTAGACAAATCAGACTATTTGGACAAGGTAAATACTCACATACAAACAGGACCATATGAGGAAATTAATAAGTCAATAGATACAGTTATGAATAAAGTTAAGAAATCCACAGCGGACCTTATACGCCGAATGAAGCCGTTTCTAGGTGAGTCTAAGTGGTTTAATTTAATGCCCAAAACTAATAACCCCAGTAGGATGTATGATGTTGTTAAAGTTCATAAGTCAGTATACCCTATTAGACCTATAGTTGATTTTAGAAATTCACCTACTTATGAATTATCTAAATATTTAGCCATGGTATTAAATCCCCTAAAAATCCACTCGAAATCTAGACTAACTAATTCTTATGAACTAAAACATACAGATTAGATCATTTAAAATTAGATAATGAAGAAAAAATGGTTAGTTTTGACATTGTCAGTTTATATACACGTATACCAATAATAAATATGGCTATAGAGGCAGTCAGAAACGGACTCATTTCTGACCAAGAACTCGAACTTAGGCAGAAAGTGCCGCCTGAGGAGTGCAGCTATGCCTGACTTCCACAGTATTTAAATTTTCTCTGTCTAATTTGGCAGTTCATTAGATAGTTACTCCCCCCCCTAACCAATCAGTGTATCCACTATATTCCTATAAGAGGTCAGCCATGAACCCGAATGACTCACTGGTAACGTCTCTGGACTGGAGCAGTGGACGGCTGGAGATACACACACCTTGCTGCCTCCAGCCATCAAATACACATTTAAGATTATGAGGTAAAACCCAATGCAGTGTCAACTAACCTAGTGGAGGTGTGACTCATTTGCTCACAGGGACTTTTGGCCTTTAGCGAAGTTATATTGGAAACCATTTCACTCTGGCATAACACCAGACTTAACAGGCTTAGCTGAACACATGGTCCAGTCCAGACATCAAAAGGAATACGTAGTCAAGAAATATGTAAGGAAATGTAAAAATAAAATAAATAATAATAATAGTAGCGATAGTGATAATAACAATAATAATGATAATGATAATAGTGATAATAATAATATTAATGACGACACCAACAATAAGGAATCTAAACCATCAGTAGTAATTCCATACAAAGAAGGAACCTCGGAAGCCTTACGCAGAATTCTTAACAAGGCAGGAATAAAAGTGGCTGGCATTCAAACCACCCACAAACTCAATTAGAAACAAGCTTTGTCGGTTAAAGGATCAATCCTGTGGAGCCTTTAAAACAAAACAATTTAGTTTATCTAATACACTGCCTGCAATGATTGTCAGGTCAAATACATAGGTCAAACTAGTAGAACAGGGGCAGTCAGACTAGCTGAACATAAAAACTTAGCAAAATCTAGATTGGTTGATCCAAATAAGATAAGAAATCTGGAGAATAGTTCAGCTGTAGCACTGCACCACATGCAATTACACACAACCATACAATAGGCTGGATGGGATAAGATGACAGTTTTAAAATCTAATGTCACAGGGTGGAGGGAGAGATTGATAACAGAAGCTTTGTTTATCGAATCAACTGAAGAGAATACATGTAATAGGAATGATTCAACACCTGTCCACCCAGATATCTGGAAAATTCTACTACCCCAACGATGACAAATAGGAGAGAACAAAGAAAACTATAAAACTCAAGTTTCGAAGTCGTGTGATTACAATTGATGAAATGATTATGAACAATAAATTGTTTTCGAAACTTTGTCATCCAGTAAATAATACTGTTTCACTGTGTGATGTATCTAATAAACAAACTGATATGGAATTACTTACTACCACAGTGCCCAAGTTTTACACATATATTAATACGTAAGCTTGCCTAGCCATGTGTTGGATACGGAATATACCTTTGCAAATATTGACGGGATTCAGACTTAGAGGCGTTCAGTCTTAATCCCTCAGATGGTAGCTCCGCACCACTGGCCTCTCGACCAGGCGCATATACTAAATGTCTGAACTCTCGTATTAAACTGGATTACCATAGAAACAGCCAGATTGTATGCACTTCACTTGCTAATGTACTCATTAGTAGGGTGAAACGACAGTCTAAACCAAGCTCACTTTCCCTGTTATTGGATGAACAACCCAATACTTGGTGAATCCTGTTTCACAATGACAGAAAGAGCCGATATCAAAGGGTCAAAATCGACGTCACTATGACAATTTGACTGCTACAAGCCAGTTATCCGTGTGGTAACTTTTCTTGTTTTAAACTCTGAAAATAATATTCAAAATGATCGATAGGCCACCCTTTCAAGGCATGGCGTTATACTCCACGCCAGGTGTCTTTCCTGACTCACGCATTTGACAGATGCACCATCCCAGTTAAACTGCGCGCATGGCATGGTCTTCTGAACAGCTCTGTTAATAATGAAACTGTCATATTCAATGTGTTCAATAGTGTTTGATTCATGTTATTTTGTATTCACTTTGTATTGTAATAATAATAATAATAATAGTGATACAAGGATCAATATTTTCTTTTGGTTTTGTTTTACTATATAGTGCGCATCTTTATTCACTTTTACAATGTTTAAACTCATCAATAAATCAATTGCTACTATTGATCCAGTAAAATCTTGTGCGGTATGTTTAAAATATAATCACATTAGTTATACTATTTAATTTATATTGAAATGCAACTTGTATTTTTTTGGAGAAAAGCTGTCGGCTGACATCATCAGTCTTGGCAATCATCATATTTTACAGTAGCTTTGATCAAACCGTATTTATTTATTTTTTTTATTTCGCGTGATACACATCTTAGCCATTTTGCTCCTCCCTCTTTCGACTGTGAAGCTTCGTTGATGGATGGATTCGTCGATGTCATACTAGGTATACGTTAAAGTTTTAAAAAAAGAATTACTGGGAATATTTCTTATCAGATTTTTCTGACCAAACAGCGTCTTCATACTGAGACAATACAAGTTTTGTAATTGGATCATAGGAATTATTAAAAAGACGGTTGCAGGAAAGAAGAAAATTTTCTTTTCGACGAAGTCACCGTCAACTAGATAGCTGTACATTCGTGTATTTATGATGAATGGGTGGGAAAGTTCCAGAATAATTTCCAGTTAAGGGTCAAATTAATAAAATTACAATTAGGAACTAAAATGCCATCATAAACAGGGGGAGGGGGACGGATAAAACTCAAACAAAGTAGCGTCATAATTACTGAGAAGATTGACATATTGTGCAATTAGGGGTTAGAAATGTAGAAATAACAAAATAGACAGGATGTTTGGATGAAAAATTTAGCGGGATCATAACTAATGTGAGGAATAATTGTTTATGCAGTTAGGGATTAAATATGTAGAAATAATAAAATGACAAAATAGACAGGAAGTTCGGATATGAAAATATGGTAGTGTAGACAGGGATTAAGAAAAACTTAAAAATAACATGGATAAACAGGAAACGTGGATAAGAAAGGCGATGGGATAGTCACTATCAAAAGAATTACCTGTTTATGATGGCCATGACAGGGACAAGGGTTGGACGTATTTCTGTTGGATACATAGTGTGGGTTTCAGCTTTTGGATCGCTAGTGCCTCGACTATGCCCAGATGTCTTAATTTCACTCCCTTTGATAGGTTTGATCGAATCTTGTATATTATTTTGAAGGATTTTTCGAATGGCGCTGAATGTCCTGAATTGACCAGATGTTCTGTCACTGAACTATATACACGTTTTCGATCTCCTTTTACTAGCCAGGCTGGATAGTGTTGACGAGCGCGTTTTTCAAGTTGGCGCATGGTACGGCCGATGTACTCAGCTCCGCAAGAGCAAGTAAACTGGTATATGCACGCTGAGGTGGCCCAATGCGACAGCTTGTCTTTCGCGTTCTGGTTGAACAGTTTCTTGCAGGAAAACGTCAGTCGTAGACTCGTGGCGAAGTATGTTTTCCTCAGAGATTTGCAGAGGCGTTTACGAAGGATTTCTGCTTCAATGTCACCTTTGAATTCTAGATTAAGCAGAAGTATCTTCTTCGGGACGGATTGGACTTGTTCGGAAGTCTTCTTTGATTTGAGATTCTTGTCTATGAAAAAGAGAAGACATTCAGCGAAGAGACTCTTTTCGGCGAATTCATTCACATAGCTGTACAATCGCATTTATATATAAATATTTGTGTGTGTGTGTGTGTACATGAGGTTTGTCAAGTTTAGATAATTGATTAGTTAATACAAGAATGATGTAGTATAGAGACAAAGTTAATCAGACAGCAACTAAAGTAAGACTGAGTTAAAAAAACAACAACTAGATGACGTAATATAATTGGCTAAAATGTTACAACTTAGGTCAGGATAGCAACAGAGGTAATTACAGGTAGAGATTAAGTAGAAGTGAAATTGAGTGAATAAGTTGGATGACGTAACATGAATGACTAGAAACTGAGCGTTGTTCAGGTCAGTAACAGTGGTAGTGGGGTGTAGAGATTGAATCGGGTGGGGGTAGAGAACAAGAAAGTTGAAATTGTAAAATGTTACAATTGAGAAAGCAAAATAATACTAATGAAGAGACAGAAGAAAAGATTAGGTAGAATTTACATGTCGGCTAATAAGATAGATTACGTCCATTGCAAGTGTAGTGATTGAACGAACTTCTTCTGTATGCAGAGTTCAGGACTTAGCAAGTGGATCGCCATTGCTTCTGCAGTTTGAAGAAGTCTGATTCGTACACCTTTAGGGAGACTACTTCTTACTCTGTAGACGACTTTGAAGTTTGTTTGCGGTGTAGCTTGGTGTCCGGATTCGATCAGATGTTCTAAGATGGAACTGCGGGGGCATCGATTTTCTCCTTTATAAAACCATGCTGGTAAGTGCTCGGTGATACGTTTGGAAAGCGAGCGCTGGGTACGGCCAACATACCTGGCTCCACACGAGCAGGTGAATTGATAAATGCACATTGATGAGGCCAGCAGCGGTAGCTTATCCTTCACGTTCACATGAATCATAGGTTTTGTGGAGAAGGTTAGTCGTAGTTCAGCTGCGAAGAAAGTCTTCTTAAGTGAACGCGACAGTCGATTTTTCAGTGTTTCCGCAGATAGATCTCCATTGAATTGGAGGTTCATGTAGAGTAGTTTTTTCTTGACGCTAAGTATGGGCGGCTTTTCTGGTCTAGGATTCATAGATTTCACAATAAATCTTTCTGGATAGCAGTTCTCGACGAGGATTCTCTTGAGGTTGTCCAGTTCATCTTCTATGGTGTCCGGGGTGCAGATTCTGCGAACTCTGTAGCTGAGTGAACGGATCAGGTTTCGTTTGGTGTATAGTGGTACCCAACTGTGAAAGTTAGTAAGCTGTCCGTTCCACGTCGATTTTCTGTGGATAGATCTTCTCAGTGTTCCATCCTGTTCTCTTCTGGTTAGTTGGACGTCAAGAAAAGATATTGTGGAGTTGGACTCTTTCTCCATCGTGAACTGAATTGCAGGGTGGCAGTTGTTAAACGACTTTAAGATGTCGTCTAGATTTTCTTCGTTGTTGACGATAATGAAGGTGTCGTCGACGTATCTTTTATAGATTTCGAAGGTGTTGATCATTTTCTTCAGGCATGTGTTTTCCAGTTTTGCCATGAAGAAATCTGCAAGCAAAGGGCCTAGTGGTGAGCCCATAGCTATACCATCCTTTTGGCGATATATTTCGTTGTTGAAAGAGAATTGAACATTCAGGGTACACCTCAGTAGGAGTTCTTTAAGATGCTCGGTGGGTATACCGATGTTTATTCCTTTGGAGTGAATAAGTTCGCATATATAGCATATTGTTTCAGTCAGTGGAACGTTTGTGAATAGTGATGTGACATCTAATGAAATCATTGTCTTGTTGGATACGTTAATGTTTTCGATTGAGTCAATAAAGTCGAATGAATCTCGAACTGTGTGGCAGGAAACTTGTTTTCTGATTGGTTCAAGTAGATCTGCTAACCATTGAGCTGTGCGGTGATAGGGTGAATTGGTCATGTCGAGGATCGGTCGAAGAGGGATATCCTTCTTGTGTACTTTCGGGAGTCCGTAAAGTCGTGGTATATTTGAGCCAGACGGTCTAAGGGATTCAAACATTTCGTTGCTGATGAAGGATTCAGTCTTCAACTTACGAAGGGTGTCCGTTAGCTTTTGTTCGGTTTGTTCAGTCATGTTTTTCTCATTGATCGGTTTTGTGAATTTGCATTCATCGGATAGTATAGTCAGCATTTTACTGATATAGTCCTTGCGATTCATGATTACGATTCCTCCGCCTTTATCAGGACGTAATATCATAATCTCTTCGTTTTTCATAAGTTCTTTCAGCTCCTTATGGTGCCTTTTCGTCAAGATGGACCTTCCGTTGTGTTTGGTATTTATAAACTTGTGACAACAGTCGAGGATTGATGCTTTGAATTGTTGTAGGTTTTCGTCTGATGTAGGTGTGAGATCGTAAGTTTGGTTTATTAGATTTTCGAACTGAACCTGGCATTGTAGCTTGTCAATACTTGGTGGTTTTACGCAGAATTTTGGACCTAGAGATAGTGCCTCTAGTTGAGTAGTAGACAGTGTGATGTCTGAAAGATTGAATACGTACTTTTCTGGATTGCTTGGGAACGGAGATTCGGTATTAATTGTAGGCTTTAGGCTTTTGAGAAGATCTGCTTTAGTCTTGTTACATTCTTTCTGAGTGACTTGTTGTACATATTCTTCGAAGGAATGGCGTAGTTCTTGATCTAAGTCTTCGACTGCATGAGCTCTTGAATAGACGTTTCGCTCTAGCTCAGGGACGCGTGATTGAATGGAGTCGATGTTGTTTCGTGTGTGTCGTCTGAGTGTTCTGGTATTCGGTTGGATGTGGTTGCGTCTCAGTGACTTCCAATACATCTTTGGATACTCATGTCGATCTATACAATCTCTTAAGAAATCAATCTTTGTCTTCGCTACCGCAAGCTTGACGGAGTAACGCAGGAAACCATCCAGCTCCTTCACCGTCACTGGGTCCTTGCAACGTTTGAGTAGATTGAAAATCCCCATTGAGTCATATGAAAAAGAAGAGTCTCTTCGCTGAATGTCTTCTCTTTTTCATATGACTCAATGGGGATTTTCAATCTACTCAAACGTTGCAAGGACCCAGTGACGGTGAAGGAGCTGGATGGTTTCCTGCGTTACTCCGTCAAGCTTGCGGTAGCGAAGACAAAGATTGATTTCTTAAGAGATTGTATAGATCGACATGAGTATCCAAAGATGTATTGGAAGTCACTGAGACGCAACCACATCCAACCGAATACCAGAACACTCAGACGACACACACGAAACAACATCGACTCCATTCAATCACGCGTCCCTGAGCTAGAGCGAAACGTCTATTCAAGAGCTCATGCAGTCGAAGACTTAGATCAAGAACTACGCCATTCCTTCGAAGAATATGTACAACAAGTCACTCAGAAAGAATGTAACAAGACTAAAGCAGATCTTCTCAAAAGCCTAAAGCCTACAATTAATACCGAATCTCCGTTCCCAAGCAATCCAGAAAAGTACGTATTCAATCTTTCAGACATCACACTGTCTACTACTCAACTAGAGGCACTATCTCTAGGTCCAAAATTCTGCGTAAAACCACCAAGTATTGACAAGCTACAATGCCAGGTTCAGTTCGAAAATCTAATAAACCAAACTTACGATCTCACACCTACATCAGACGAAAACCTACAACAATTCAAAGCATCAATCCTCGACTGTTGTCACAAGTTTATAAATACCAAACACAACGGAAGGTCCATCTTGACGAAAAGGCACCATAAGGAGCTGAAAGAACTTATGAAAAACGAAGAGATTATGATATTACGTCCTGATAAAGGCGGAGGAATCGTAATCATGAATCGCAAGGACTATATCAGTAAAATGCTGACTATACTATCCGATGAATGCAAATTCACAAAACCGATCAATGAGAAAAACATGACTGAACAAACCGAACAAAAGCTAACGGACACCCTTCGTAAGTTGAAGACTGAATCCTTCATCAGCAACGAAATGTTTGAATCCCTTAGACCGTCTGGCTCAAATATACCACGACTTTACGGACTCCCGAAAGTACACAAGAAGGATATCCCTCTTCGACCGATCCTCGACATGACCAATTCACCCTATCACCGCACAGCTCAATGGTTAGCAGATCTACTTGAACCAATCAGAAAACAAGTTTCCTGCCACACAGTTCGAGATTCATTCGACTTTATTGACTCAATCGAAAACATTAACGTATCCAACAAGACAATGATTTCATTAGATGTCACATCACTATTCACAAACGTTCCACTGACTGAAACAATATGCTATATATGCGAACTTATTCACTCCAAAGGAATAAACATCGGTATACCCACCGAGCATCTTAAAGAACTCCTACTGAGGTGTACCCTGAATGTTCAATTCTCTTTCAACAACGAAATATATCGCCAAAAGGATGGTATAGCTATGGGCTCACCACTAGGCCCTTTGCTTGCAGATTTCTTCATGGCAAAACTGGAAAACACATGCCTGAAGAAAATGATCAACACCTTCGAAATCTATAAAAGATACGTCGACGACACCTTCATTATCGTCAACAACGAAGAAAATCTAGACGACATCTTAAAGTCGTTTAACAACTGCCACCCTGCAATTCAGTTCACGATGGAGAAAGAGTCCAACTCCACAATATCTTTTCTTGACGTCCAACTAACCAGAAGAGAACAGGATGGAACACTGAGAAGATCTATCCACAGAAAATCGACGTGGAACGGACAGCTTACTAACTTTCACAGTTGGGTACCACTATACACCAAACGAAACCTGATCCGTTCACTCAGCTACAGAGTTCGCAGAATCTGCACCCCGGACACCATAGAAGATGAACTGGACAACCTCAAGAGAATCCTCGTCGAGAACTGCTATCCAGAAAGATTTATTGTGAAATCTATGAATCCTAGACCAGAAAAGCAGCCCATACTTAGCGTCAAGAAAAAACTACTCTACATGAACCTCCAATTCAATGGAGATCTATCTGCGGAAACACTGAAAAATCGACTGTCGCGTTCACTTAAGAAGACTTTCTTCGCAGCTGAACTACGACTAACCTTCTCCACAAAACCTATGATTCATGTGAACGTGAAGGATAAGCTACCGCTGCTGGCCTCATCAATGTGCATTTATCAATTCACCTGCTCGTGTGGAGCCAGGTATGTTGGCCGTACCCAGCGCTCGCTTTCCAAACGTATCACCGAGCACTTACCAGCATGGTTTTATAAAGGAGAAAATCGATGCCCCCGCAGTTCCATCTTAGAACATCTGATCGAATCCGGACACCAAGCTACACCGCAAACAAACTTCAAAGTCGTCTACAGAGTAAGAAGTAGTCTCCCTAAAGGTGTACGAATCAGACTTCTTCAAACTGCAGAAGCAATGGCGATCCACTTGCTAAGTCCTGAACTCTGCATACAGAAGAAGTTCGTTCAATCACTACACTTGCAATGGACGTAATCTATCTTATTAGCCGACATGTAAATTCTACCTAATCTTTTCTTCTGTCTCTTCATTAGTATTATTTTGCTTTCTCAATTGTAACATTTTACAATTTCAACTTTCTTGTTCTCTACCCCCACCCGATTCAATCTCTACACCCCACTACCACTGTTACTGACCTGAACAACGCTCAGTTTCTAGTCATTCATGTTACGTCATCCAACTTATTCACTCAATTTCACTTCTACTTAATCTCTACCTGTAATTACCTCTGTTGCTATCCTGACCTAAGTTGTAACATTTTAGCCAATTATATTACGTCATCTAGTTGTTTTTTTTTTAACTCAGTCTTACTTTAGTTGCTGTCTGATTAACTTTGTCTCTATACTACATCATTCTTGTATTAACTAATCAATTATCTAAACTTGACAAACCTCATGTACACACACACACACACAAATATTTATATATAAATGCGATTGTACAGCTATGTGAATGAATTCGCCGAAAAGAGTCTCTTCGCTGAATGTCTTCTCTTTTTCATATGACTCAATGGGGATTTTCAATCTTGTCTATGAACCTAGGCGGAAAACCATTTTCCATCAGGGTTCCTCGGAGATTACGCAATTCTCCATCAATCACTTCCTCGCTGAATATCTTCCGAATCCTCGAGGAGAGAGCGTATATCAGGTTCCTCTCTCTGCATAGGGGCACGAAGCTTTGATAGTTGATGAATTGTCTATTCCATGTTTATATTAAAGTCATTATTTGATCAGATCTTCCGAGTTGTACTACTTCTGCCATTCCTCCATATTATGTTTCTTTGCATTCTTTTCGTGTCTCCTATATTTTACCGCCGCAATACTGGTTCATTTCCTCTGTTTTAAGTCAAATCTATCTCTCCGCTATTTAATATTTTTCTAGTGATGAACGTTTCTTTATGTACTACTGATAAATCTTGTCAGTAGAATACACCACAGTAACACCTTGAATTAAATTCGCAATTTGTAAAGTTTTTGGCTCTTTTGCAAACTAACGCGTTATTTTATAAACTACGAGGTGTTTGGGTCACTTTGACCCAGCTGGTTTGCAACTACCCAACCAAGTCAATCAATAGTTTGTGGTTTCATCCATTCACGCATGGTTTCCTTATTACCATTTATTGTATCAAGCTGATCACGTATTATTATTATTGTTTCCTTTAGTTCCTAGAGGAACATAGGGCTTCAGCCACGCACGTCTCCATCTTGCGTTCGGTTCTCTGCCAACGTTTTCACCTGACTCCACGTCTGCCCACATGCTTTCATCTCCTCTTCACATGACCTCCTCCATGTCACTCTCGTAATGACGACCAACTAACTTGCCGCTTCCCATTCAGGTTCCACTCGAGCAATGGCCTGGCGTGTGATGTCACTTGATGGTTTTCTTAAGAGACTTAAGAGTAATGAAAGCTTGCCTTACTTTCCCGATCCTCGCTTCTTTAATATCCTCATCAGTTCCGCCCTCCTGTAGTTGAAAAGATGCTTCCCAGGTAGGAAGGTAGGTAGGTGGAGAAGGTTGCCTCTTTCAGATTTCTCCCATTTATACTGATTGCTGTCTGTTGTGGTTGCTGCTGCTATTGGCCAGGAATCTTCATCACCTCTGTTTTCTCTATGTTCACCTGAAGTGATGTCCTATCTTTGATGCTTCTTCTGTGAACTTGTTGCTTTTCACTTGCATATCTTCCAGTTTGTGGGAAATCAGACATATATATGTTATCGGCGAAGTCCAGATCCTCCAAGTTTTTTGTGTGGCTTCATTTTATGCCTGTTTCTTCACCGCCCGCTGTCTACCGCAATCAGGAAAATCATTGGAGATAGTAGGAAGCCAGCCAGCCACCGGCCTTGTCTTACTGCCGTCTTCACTTCAAAGGATTCCATGAGTTTCCCGTTGTGGATTACTTGCATGCAGCGTTGTCGTACAACTGTTGGATGAGATGTATAATTGTTGGCGGCACCCCTTGGTAGTAGCGAATTAGTTGTCAAATCACCTCTCGGTCGACGCTGTCTGCTGAAGGCCTTTTCAAAGCCAATGAAGTTGAGATAGAGTGATCATGTATGCGGTGGTGTTATTTTTACAGGCTGTCATTCCTAGCCACGCGGACAAACTTCTTTGTTCTCACGTTTTAATACCAGCTGCTAAATTAGACGAGATTAAGGGGTAAGTCGGCTAGGAATTGAAAGCGGACTACCTGAGTGACTGGTTTTCATTCCATCACTGAATTTCCAAAGCACATTTCTCAAATGTAGGCGATTTTAAGCTGATCAAGTTCCTCACTAGTTACAATCTCTAATTTTGTGCTATTTTGAAATGCCAAACGATTAGATGGTTGAATTTTTTGTTAAATTTGCCATGCTGATTTTTCCCTGAGATCTGATACCACAGATAAGAGGATATTTTTCTGTATTAATAAACACGAAACCTGATTGGCTATTAATTAAACTGTATGCTCATTGGCTATTGGCTGAATTTAGTAGCATAGTGAATCAACTATAGAAACTGGTCATCACCATGGTAATTTAGTTTCACTTTCATTTGAAGTTATTTGTATCTATTTAAATTACACTGTTTATTATCATTATTCTTTTCAAAATTAAAACAATATCCACTTTATCCTGTTTACTTACAAAGGGATGGTATTTATGCTACAAGAAGTCGACGTAGCTGATGCCTGTCTAAATGAGCGGGTCAATCGTGTGGAGAATAAAACAAATTGACATTGCTATGACTGTAAAATCAATACTTTTTCGTAAATAAAAAAAACTATTTTCCCTCTTTTCTACTATTAATTGATAAAATTTAAATAGCTATATTGCTGGTTTTCAATTCAAAGCCAAAAGTATTGCTGTTAAGGAAAAACAGGGGATCGTTTAGGGCTGTTTCTCCAGAGTGTAGAATCAGAAATGATTTAAAGGTGACAGTGAAGTAGTCAGTATCACTTGCGGTACATCTTCACCCCACTCAGTTATCGGCAACCATTTGATGGTGTCGCAATGGGAAGCGCCTTGGGACCACTTTTTGCAGACTTATTCTTGTCAGGCCTAGAAGCCGGTACCTTGCAGCAACACATATAAGAAATGGATGTATACCTAAGATATGTTGATGACATTTTTATTGCCTGTGGAAGCAGATCAAAAGCTGAAGGCATGTTGATAAAATTCAACTCAAGCCATCCGAATCTCATTTTCACAATAGAACACGAAGAAAATGATACTATTAAATTCTTAGACGTTTTTCTGGTGAAAATGACTGATGGCCCAATCGAAAGATCTATATTTAGAAAGTCTTCATGGACAGGGCAGTACATGCATTTCAAGAGCTTTGTTCCAATCCAGTATAAAAAGAACTTAGTCAGAACACTGTTCAATAGAGCACGGAAAATTTGTTCTGACAGTACAATTGAGCATGAAATAAAATCCCTGAAGGATATCTTATCTAAGAATGGATATCCTGAGAAGTTCATTAATAAATACTCTAAAGAAAATACCTCCTGCAAAACAATCCAAACAGTTCCGAAGAAACCTGTCTATATCAGCTTGCCGTTCAAAGGAGATGATGTACAGGAAGTAGTCAAACGAAGACTCGATAAAGCTATCAAGAGAACTTATTGTGCTGTAAAACTTGTTCTCTTTAACACCACTAAGCGAGTGCTTCGACAATCTGGGAAAGACCAGTCGCCAATCCTCGACACTTCAAACTGCGTATATCAATTTGAGTGTGTTTGTGGAAGCAAATACATAGGTCGTACAGAAAGGCGATTGTCTACTCGCATGATGGAGCATCTGACAAAGTGGTTGAAAACAGCTGAGTGCAAAGTGCCAAAATCCTCAATAACAAAACATCTTGTGGACTATGGACAGGATATCGGTGCTGTCACGTCATTCACTGTTGTTAGCAGACAAAGAAACAGGAAGATGCTTGCAATTGCCGAGGAGGCTTGTGCAATTCCAGTTTACAAACCAGGTCTCTGTGTACAAAAGGAGATGATCGTCACTCTGAATCTACCATGGTAATACGTTTTACTTATTATTCTACCTCTTATTATTATTATTCTTGATTCTTTTAAAACTATCGTTTATCAGTAGCATTATCTTAACTCACTTCAACATTATTATTATTATTGTTATTATCACTATTAATATTGATATTACTCTGTTTGCAATTCTTGTTATATTCTCTAATGTCTAATTGTTTATCTAAGTGATGTAATTGAAGCGTAATGCATTTTATCTTAATTTCAATCTCCCATACTCTCTCTCCCCTTATCTATTTGAACATGACCTGGAAAACATTCGCACCTGTCTTTCTGCATGACTAATTCAATGTAGTTGATTTGCTTATCAGTCTTATGTCTCCCAGTGTAAGTTCAAAAGTATATACATCCGTGTATGTAGAGTACTGAGCAGCTGATGAGTTCTACCGGAATTCGATGAATTCATGAAATCCTGCTTTATTAACCTTCTTTGTGGCTTGTTTTAAATTCGTATCGGGAAATTAGTGTTTTCAATTTTCAACTTGCTCCAGAACTGACCATATATTTTCACTCCCCATTCCATAAGACTAACACCCAACTCCTCGTTTCCTTATTGGGGCTCCACTGGATGACCTGCCTGACAAGCGAAGTCATCCAATGATCTTCTCAGAGTATACCAAAACCATGTGCATTCCATTCTGAATATTTCTTGGGTTACAGTCTCTGAGTGTTGGTTGACTACCTGCTAGAGTTGTATGTTTTGAGTGCATACTTTCTGGTCGGCTGTCTTATCTTCAGTAATGTGTGAAAGTGGCAGATGTTGATGGAATCCCGCAGCTGGTTAGAAATGCTTCTAGTGATGCAAAAGCCAAGTCTCTGAATCATATTCAACCACTGATTTAGCTTTACTGCTAGAAGTTCAAAAAAAGAAAGACTATGTTATTTGAAGTATTATTCTTACCAGATTTCCACTTAGTAATCACAGTTGTTATAGAGTTGATCTTTTATTGAACACTAGGAACTAGTGTGATGTGTCTAGTCCTTTGTTTGCTGCAGATTGAATTCTATCAGTCAAGTTTGCAATGTGGCCACCATCCCACTAGGTGGCTCGCCGTCATAGTGCACTTTGAATTGCTGATATTACATGATTGGAGGCCATCAAAGTATCAAATACAGTTTTACAGGAGGTCAGTGGCTAGTCCAAATAGCTGACTGAGTACTAAAGTCTCTGACTGCAGCACTGGCTTCGAATCTCAGAAGGGACTTGAGTTCCTCGCTGAATGGTGAGTGCCAACTAGCACGAAACCTAGGTCAAGTGGGGCTTCCTGTGGCCGATTGCCTGCAACCGTCTGACATCAACAATTCAAAGAGTTGATCTTGCTAACAAGGAATGCCAAAGTCTAAATAAAGCATAAGTCACCAGCTCCTACCTCTATTCAACCATTAAATCAAAATATTTGCTTGATTTGTGTCATCGAGTTGAACAAAATACCATTGACATACCAGGCCTAAAATGTTACTCAGTTATTCCATATTAGTTTGTTTATTAGATGTATCACACAGTCAGTGAAACAGTATTATTTACTGGATGACGTTATTGTTCATAATCATTTCATCAATTATAATCACACAACTTCGAAACTTGAGTTTTATAGTTTTCTTTGTCCTCTCCTATTTGTCTTCGTAGGAGTAGTAGAATTTTCCAGATATCTGACTGTACAGGCGTTGAATCATTCCTATAACATGTATTCTCTTCAGTTTATTTGATAAACAAAGCTTCTGTTATCAATCTCTCCCTCCACCCTGTGACATTAGATTTTAAAACGGTCATCCTATCCGATCCAGCCTATTGTATGGTTGTGTGTAATTGCATGCGGTGAGTAGTGCTATAGCTGAACTATTCTCTAGATTTCTTATCTTATTCGGATCAACTGATCTAGATTTTGCTGCTAGGGTTTTATGCTCGGCTAGTCTGACTGTCCCTGTTCTACTAGTTTGACTTACGTATTTGACCTGACAGTCATTCAAGCAGGGTATTAGATGAACTGAATTGTTTTGTTTTATTGGCTTCACTGTCAGGATCCCTTAACCGACAAAAATTGTTTCCAATTGAGTTTGTGGGGGGTTTGAATGCCAGCCACTTTTATTCCTGCCTACATTGTTAAGAATTCTCCACCGTAAGGTTTCCGAGGTTCCTTCTTCGTATGGAATTACTACCGACGATTTAGATTACTTGTTGTTGGTGTTGTCTTGCGCACATTTGACACATTTACACATATATTAAGTTACTCAGTTAATGGCGCATGTTAATTTCTGTTATTCCCACAATAAGTGTGAAATAACCCTCTCCTTCACCTATTGAACTAAGTATAACCACGGTATTGATTTTTTTTCCATCACCTTCCCAGTGGAACATAGGGCTTCAAGCTAATGGCTTGAAGTTTCTGTAGCAGTGTTTATTTTTACAGGATGGGGTTACTAACCTCATGCCCAACCTTTCCTCTTTACCAGCTTTTAGTTCTGGCTTAGTGAGGTAAAGAGTGCGTCGGCCGGGGATCGAACCCCGGACCATGTGCATGGTCGGCGAGCATCCTAACTGCTATGCCACCGACGCACACGGTATTGATTTAAAGTAAGAATTTATGACTAGAGTGAACTTTATGTAAAGGTGACTGAAGCAAAGAAAGTTTAGCCACGGACGTTTCTTCAGCCTATTCAGAAGAATACCCATGATTTATTTTGTGTGTGGGAGGGAAACTTGTTAAACCACTCCCTTGCCTAACCATTCAAGATGTCTCATTCTACACTGAAGTTGTCACCAAAAGGGTAACCCAACTGGTACACACACACACGCATGGCGGAGATAAAATGCGTCGGTTCGATCACGAGCTTAAATCAGCTAGAAAACCATTGGAAAGCAACAGAAAGTCTTCAAAGGCTGTTTCCTCCAACTTTGGGACTCTTCATCAGAGCACACCCACCAGAGTTTGAACCCAGCACCTTCCGGTTACCAGACAAGCTCCCAGACTATTCAGTCAGCGGAATCCAATCCCAGCTACTGCCAATCCTCAGCATATAAGAGCGCAATCACCAGCCAGTGTCATACGCGAGTAATTGATCTCTTATCTGACCTGGTGGACACCTTGCTGGTCATAACTGTAATTCGACAAAAAATCTTTCTGTCTTTCTGTGTGTGAGTATGTGTACTTTCTGACTGGCCTTCAGAACATAAATGTGTGTTAACCATTCAGCTGATGAAACTGACTGTTTCTCCCCAGCCTATAACGATTTGCACAGATCATATCAATGTAACGACAAAATACAAGGGCCAGGAAACAGATCGCTTATGAGAATCAACAGATATTTATAGATTTTTATGTACATTACTATCAGCGGAGAAGTCGCGCCTTCTGATTGGTTGTTTTCTTGCTGAAGGCTATTCTGTACTACTTGTGACCGTTTCTCAGAAAGTTAAGCCATATATCTGCGAATCGTATTTGCACATGTTAAGTCCGCTGTGATTGGTCAGTGAATTTACTCAAGGTTAAGCTTTGTTATCGTTTTTCCCTTGACTTTGATCCGGGACGTAACCTTGACGTTAACTGTTATTTACAATTTTGGCTTGTTTGCAGCCGGCTCTCACCACATCAATACTTCTTTCCATTTTCCCTTCACAATTGTCGCTATTTTAATTGAGATTATGAATTATTGATTTCAATTCCACTAGTTCATCGTCACAAATTTTTTTATTTTCTTTCATACGTCATTATAGTCCTAATATCTTTAGCAATCCATTAATATCACCATGTTGATTGCATTTATATTGCAAGGTAGG